CCGCCAAGGGCCGGGGTGGCCGCGTACTGCGCGGCTTGCAGCGCAGAGCCAGTCCCGGCCCGGAGCGCCCTGACCCGCACGTCCGGAGCCCCCAATTCCGAGGCGCCCCGGAACCTTCCCTCAGCTCTGGCGCGAGGCTGGAAATCCCAGCTGGCGCCGCGGCTTTGATTTCAAATAGCCAGCCTGGGCGGGCAGCGGGCAGCAGGGCCAGCTGGCCGCAGCTCGGCCAGGGAGGGGCCGCGCCCGCAGACCTCGCCTGCCCCGCGCTCGCCATCGCCCTGCTCTGCGCCCCACTTTGCCTCTGGGGAGTCCTCTCACCCTGCACCTCTGGCCTGCGCCCCAGTTCTGTGTGTATAAATAAATCTTTAAAGTAAATGAAAATAAGACCAGTTTCTTGCGAGTGTCTGCCCCCGACCTTGGGGTGGAAGGGGCCCCCGGGGAGGCGGCGTCCAGGCTCCTGGCCGCTTCTCTGTCCCGCGGCACCTTTCAGGGAGGGTGGGGGCCCGTCCTGGACACGACAGGGCTCAAGTCAGCGGCCGAGGGGGCATGGGGCCACGTGTGGGCACTCACGGGCTGCGGGTGGGCAGGCCTCCGCCACCGGGGGGCCGGGGTCCCCAAGCCCCATCCCGAACCCGTCTGTGGGCGGGGCACAGACCAGGAGAGGGTGCACCAGCGCCCAGGTCGTGTGTCCGGCGGCTCCGGCAGCGTCCAGCAGTCAGCGCCCTGCTGTGGCGGGCGGGGCGGCCACCGGGACTCAGGGCCGCATCTCCCCCTCGGCCTCCGTGGTGACCGCCGGCCTGGCCAGCGGGGTGAGGGCCTCCGCGGGGTCCCCTGCTGCGCCCTGTGTCTTCATCTGCGGGTACAGGTCGCACGCACCCCCTGAGCCCGGCTCCAAACGTGGGGCTCCCGGGTCTCAGGCAGGCTGCGGCCCCCACCCCCTAGCAGGGCCAGCAGGCCTGGGGGCTGGAGGCCTGCGCCCCGACCTCCACCTCCAGCAGCCAGGCGCCCCCCTTCCCCCCGCCCTCTGCCCTGCCCCCCGTGGGCACCTCCTGCCCCCGTGAGCCCTGGTCTCCGTTACCTGACCAGGGGTCTGTGGAAACGGGGCCCCTCCCTCCAAGGGAGTCCCCTCTGGCAAGGCCCCTGGGCTCTGCTCTGCAGAGGGGAGCCCCCCCC